GCCACAGACCAGCTGACGGGCCCAGAGCTCCGAGCCCACCTGTTCGATTCAACTGTTCTCCCTGCGCTCTATTATCAGCAAAGACATGGCCTCACACTGTGGCTACGTCGAGGGCTCTTCGAACAACCCGCAGAGCGGTGGGACGACGTCTTCTGGAGACAATCGACGCACTCAACATCTCGTCGAACTTCGCTGAGAAATCAGCTGGTAACGAGTAATGGATCTGGACCCCACAAACGTCGCCGCTGCTGTTCAAACCAACATCGTGGATGACGCTAAGAGAAAGAAACAGATGGAAACAGTGCAGTGGCCTGCACGATGAGTGAAGACAGGCTATCTAAGCATCTGGGTGTTAAAATGTCTAAACAAAACTTCATTAAAGTTATTGTAGAAGTCCTCCCTTTCAGAAGCATCTTTCTTCCCATTTATTTTTGATTTACTGCATCAGGTCGTCTCTTCAATCTCACGCGATGCACGCGCAGCATTAGCATTGTAGCGAGTACCTAAAAAGCGGATCATTTTCTCTAGCTATTAAACAATATTCTGCATCTGATATGTGATTGGGAGCTGGATAAGCAGCCCTAAATAATTGAAGGGCACCGCACATCGTGGCAGTACCAAACGCAGAAGAGTTGTCGGAACAACGGGCAGGAGTGTCATAGTGTGCAAAAAAGGGGCTTAGACATGGCTCAAACCAAACCACATCTCGTTTTGATCGAACTATGCAGAGCTTCCGCCTTCTTCAAGCTCTAGGCGATAGAGATCGAATACAATTTAAAGAATTGAAGCCTTTTATTTTTAGAGTTCAGTGTGTGGAAATTAGGAGATTTTTCAGGATCAGGCCTCATTGTTGGCATTGAACTCAGCGGTGATCCTGCCATCGATGGTAGAAAATTTCTTCCGGTGCTGAAACAAGCTCGAAGAGCTGGTTTGAAGGTGTCAATTCATTTGGCTGAGGTACATCTCAATTTATTCAATGCCTGAATAGCAAACTCCGTATTTTAGATCTCTAACCAGTTAGATGAAGTTGAGGAATTTCTACGTTTCCGCCCAGATCGGATAGGCCATGGGACATTTCTGCATACTAGGAGCGAGTTTATTAATCTCATGATTCAGCATAGAATTCCTTTAGGTATATAGATATCCAGCATTATAACGCTTCTTTAGCATTGTAAATACTTCTAAATGTTGGTTTTTTGCAGAGATCTGTCTCACATCGAACGTAATGAGCATGACAACTAGCAGCATTGCTGATTCCCATTTGAAATTTTGGCGTGAAAGGTCGATACCGATCTGCCTCTGTGTGAGTTTTGCATAATTGTAAGCTATTTTTAAATCGTAGAAAACAGATTGTTTTTTTTAATCCCATACAAACATGTATCGGCAAACTTTAGTCATATATCTGTTTGATTACATTCAAATTTTCTGAAAAAAATGTATGTTACTCAACCACCAATTTATTCAGCACACCCCATCTCCCTTTCTTCCATTTTTTCATCCAAGGTGTGAGGTGCGCCTGAAACCTAACACCCCCAACTCTATCCCTTCTCTACCAGAGCATGGTCTTTTCCCATACTCAAAAAAAAAGAAAAACGACGCATTCTTGTCCTTTTTTTCGTAATTCCACTCATTCTTCTAAAATTTCTTCAGGAAGGACCAGTTGACCAAACCTGTCTACCCTCCGCGTGAGCACTCTAGGAGCTCTTCCTCTTTTTTTTT